TATCCAAAGATATCTCTGGTTCCATCATAGCTAGAGGCTGGGGTTGCCAATAAGGGGGGGGGTCTGGTTTTTTGTTTTTCCTTTATCTTTCTTTTTCCTGAAGTAATACCCTATTCCTGGAAGAGAACCTTGAGGGACCTGTACACCTGGAATGAGAACTGGACTGATCAGCTCATCTCTCCCTCCTTTCTTCCCTCTACAAATCCCTTAACTCCCGAATGAGACACAGTACAAGAGCTCCCTCCTGCTGTACAGGAGCTCTGCTTTCTCTATCCTAAGCTCCCCATAATAAAATATTCCTTTCTAAAACTTGCCCTCTGTGGTCTGTGAATCATTCTTTGAATTTGAGAGACAAGAACCCAAAAGACAAGAACCCTCTGGCTAGAGGTGGTTTTGGTGGCCGGTGAGTTTCCAGGACCCTGGCCTCTCAAGCTAAGCACAACAGAGCCATGAGAGACTCCGTCACTCTCAAAGACATCCCAATACTCTCCCAGCTCACTCAGTATATTCTATGGAGGTGGATCCAGGTCGCATTAGGAATCTCTTTTCTTTTGTGAATAGTATTCCATGGTATGGACATACCAAAGTTTGTATAAGCACTCAGTGATTAGATTGTTCCCACTTTGGGCTCTTAAGCTTTAAATGATTTTGTGTAGGTTTTGAAGTGAACATAAATCTTCATTTTCATGAGAAAAATGCTCAGGAGTGCAATTATTATGTGAAAATCTTTTGTATATTGTATTACAGTAGCAATAAAGGCCCATTAAGAGAAAACTCCTGCCCAGCATGGTGGCGCATGCCTTTAGTCCCAGCACTCAGGGGATAGAGGTAGGGGGCTCTCTGTGAATTCAAGGCCAGCTTGGTCTACATAGTGAGTTCAAGGCCAGCTGGGGCTACAGGAAGACCCTGTCTCAAAAAGACCCAAAAAAAGAGAGAGAAAACTCCTTCTGGTCAAGAGAATAGCATCTCTGGTCTGAGTGGTGACCTAACATTCCACTTGGGCCTGGTCAATCACTTGGCCAAGGGACCACCCCTAGGAAGGTAGGTTCACCTGAAGAGATAAACAGGTGGAATGAGTAGTCCTTTAATGATATGTTCTCCTTCCCAGAATTCCTACCCCAGCATAGTAGCTTACCAGGCCTCAGCCCTACAACTTTGTAAGTCTGCCCACTTTTCTAAATTCTTCAGTGTAACCTCTCCTTTTCTTCTCTTTTCTAAGCATGCTGCCCCAACATGTTGAGTTCCCTTACTCTTTCTCCAAAGCTCCTCATCCCTCCATGTGACTGGCTGCCAGTTCACCATGTGTCTAATCTCAAGCAGGCTTAAAACAGCAAGGCCTTTTTTCCTTCTCTCCTTCATTGTCCTCCTCTGGACAGCTGCTGAGATTTATAGTTTGCCTGCCCTGGAGAATTTTCTTTTAAACTCTGACAAAATTGTCTTCACACTTCCCTTTGAGCACATTCTTAAATTATTTTATTAATCAGACTAAGGATCCCAAGAGGGCACCCCGATTTCCCCAATATCAATTGTAGATACTAATCCCTTTTCAGCTATGTGATTTGCAACCAATTTCTCACATTGTATAGACTGCCTTCCTATCCTTTCAAGTTTTTTG